GTGTGCCCTTCAGGGTGACTCGGGGAGCAGGCTGGTGTGTGTCCCCCCCTCCCCGAGCAGCAGTGCCAGAGCCTGAGCCCACCCAGAACCACCTCCTGTCCCTGCTCTTGTCGAGAAGCCCCCTTGGGCTGCCCCTGGTTCGGATGAGCCGGTCCGGTGTGTGACCATCAACCCGGAGCGACCCGTCCCGGCTTCCCAAGCCCCGCTGTCCCTTTAATGTTTTGGTTTGACAGCTTTGGGTGAGGAAGCACTTCCAACAGCTGTCTTCTTGGCACAGCACCAAGCGCCGGCTTAAAGGGTCCCCGGCTGGAGCAGCTTCACCTTCTGTCTCAGAACAAACCCAGCGATTGTTTCATTTATATTTTTTTCCCGGCTGCTTTCCTGCCGAGCCAGGACCAAGCCCCGCTGTCCCTTTAATGTTTTGGTTTGACAGCTTTGGGTGAGGAAGCACTTCCAACAGCTGTCTTCTTGGCACAGCACCAAGCGCCGGCTTAAAGGGTCCCCGGCTGGAGCAGCTTCACCTTCTGTCTCAGAACAAACCCAGCGATTGTTTCATTTATATTTTTTTCCCGGCTGCTTTCCTGCCGAGCCAGGACTCTGCTGGGCTGCCTTTTGTGCCCCAGCTCTGCCGTTCCTTTCCAAATACACACGCATTTGGTGTTAAAATGCTGCTGCTGGGGTGACGTGGGTGGGAGCCCCGCTCGGGCGGAGAATCGGAACCCAACACAACAGCTTATTAAACTTCCAGAAATCGCTGTTTTTCAGTCTCTCCGTGTCTATTGCATGCTTTTTGAGGTCTGTACCTGACTGCAGGTGGTGGGCACACCCCGGTTTTGCCATCCGTTGTTTCACTGCTGCTTTTAAGCTGCGCACGTTGTGCCAATAAACGCGTCTCGGTTGGCAAAACTCCCCGCGAGAGTAACGGAGCGTTTCCCGCTTTCTGTTCCCAAAAGATGACGAAGACGAGGAGGAAGAGGAAGAAGAAGAAGACGAAATAGACGTGGTGACGGTGGAGAAGAGACGCTGCTGCTCCTCCTCCTCCTCCTCCAACAAGGCTGTCACCACCCTGACCATCACCGTGCGCCCCAAAGCCGCCGCCTTCCCGCCGGCCAGGACGCCGCAGAACGAGCTGATCCTCAAGCGCTGCGCGCCCATCCACCAGCAGCACAACTACGCCGCTCCTTCCCCCTACGTGGAGAGCGAAGATGCCCCACCACAGAAGAAGTTAAAAGTCGAGGTGCCCCGTCCGGTCAAACCCACCATCCCACCAAAGCCTAAGAGTTCAAGCCCTCGGAGCTCTGACTCGGAGGACAGCGAACGTCGACGCAACCACAACATCCTGGAGCGCCAGCGGCGCAACGACCTGCGCTCGAGTTTCCTCACGTTAAGGGACCATGTGCCGGAACTGGTTAAAAACGAGAAGGCTGCAAAAGTTGTCATCTTGAAAAAAGCCACCGAGTACGTCCATTCCCTTCAGGCAGAGGAGCAGAAGTTACTGCTAGAAAAGGAAAAATTGCAAGCCAGACAACAACAGTTGCTAAAGAAAATAGAATACAAGCGGACTTGCTGAACTTCTGGGTTTGGTTTTGTTCTTTTTTTTGTTTGTTTTTGGGTTGTTTGTTGTTTTTTTTGGGGGCTGACCAGGACAGTCATTGCCACTTTGCACATTTTTGATTCTTTAAAAAAAAAAAAAAGAAAAAGAAAAAAAAAAAAAAGAAAAAACGTTGTGTTTTCTTTTGACGTTAAGAATGTTGGTTTTACTTTCAATCCAGTCCCTGAAGTGTAATCGACAAACTCTATAATCCGGGTAAACCATAGCCCCTTTGACAATTTTTTTTTTTTTAAAAAAAAAAAAAAGAAAAAGAAAAAAAAAAAAAAGAAAAAACGTTGTGTTTTCTTTTGACGTTAAGAATGTTGGTTTTACTTTCAATCCAGTCCCTGAAGTGTAATCGACAAACTCTATAATCCGGGTACGGAGCAAATGGATGTTCTTGCAAGGAGCTGATTGCAAGGCTACCAAACAACAATGGACTGCCTTTTGTTTTTCCTCTTAAGAACTGTAGATGGTGGGGGATTTTATCTCTTTTTTTGGGGAAATCGTGAGCATTTGGAGCTGCTGATGCCATCTAGTTGGGTTTTAAAATGTTCATTCCTAAGTTTTATGGTGCTTATGTTCTAACAGATCTTACTTTAGGGGTTGGCATTTGTACCCCCGTGGGAATTTTCTGTAAATACCATCTACACACTTGCCTTTTGTACATGTCTTGGGTTATGAGAGGTAGCTTTGGCTACCAGTGTTAGACTGGAAGTTCATACCTAAGTACTGTAATACCTCAATGTTTGAGGAGCATGTTTTTGTATACAAATATATTGTTAATCTCTGTTATGTACTGTACTAATTCTTACATTGCCTGTATACTTTAGTATGATGCTGATACATAACTAAATTTGATACTTATATTTTCGTATGAAAATGAGTTGTGAAAGTTTTGAGTAGATATTACTTTATCACTTTTTTGAACTAAGAAACTTTTGTAAAGAAATTTACTATATATGCCTTTTCCTAGCCTGTTTCTTCCAGTTAATGTATTTGTTAATGTTTGGTGCATAGAACTGGGTAACTGCAAAGTTCTGTGTTTAATTTCTTCCAACTATGTACATTTAGTGCTGCGTCTAATAGCACTTTGAAATACCTCATGTTTATGAAAATAAATAGCAATTACATTATGTGCCATTTACTATTTTTCTTTTAAGTTCTTTTGGCAGTGTTCTTGAAATATAAAAACATGGTCCCATATTCTGGGCATTTAAACTCTCCAAGTAGAGGTGACTCTGCAGGACTTTTCCATTTCTGGTTATGGAGTAACTGTAGTAAGAACAATTTTCCTGTCCTTTCATGCTTCAGATGTCTCTTGTGATATCAAGACTATCCCAAGGGATGTTAATGGAAAAACTCCTGTGTTTTGTGAAGACTACTGGGATATCCACTGTGCACAGAGAACTGTGAGGGATGGAAACACAGCTAAGCATCCTCCTGCTCAGGGACCAGCCTGAGGGGGGTAGACAGGTGGAGAACTAAATGTTGGAGGTGCACTTTGCTACAGCACAGAAAAGGAAATGTTTGTATTAAACAAAGCTCTTACTTGACTGCTGTTCTTGGTTGCATGACAAAAGGTTTATCCTTGAAGCACTCCTTCGTTGCTTGGGAGAATCGGTGTTCTTCTTTGTAGCTGAAGCTCCTGTTTGTTACTACTTGTGCTAAGCTGGTACAATTAAAAATCCACAGGTAGATGGAGTTTTGAGGTTGGGGGAGCCAGGACGGGGTCATCCAATGGCATGTAGAGTGAACATGGAAGCTTTGCAGACTGTTGTCTTGAGGTGTGATGGCATTTGGTGTGACAGAAACAAGACATGTAAGCCTGTGGAATAGGTTTGGTCGTTTTGGTCAGCTTCTTGAGACCAAGGGGTTGGTTTATTGCCCAGTCTGTGCCGCTATTTCTGACAAGTAAGTTACGGATTTATGAGCAAGTAGTAAGTAGTAGCTTAAGGATCAACTTGCAAGGAGCAGCTGCCACTACTTTAGCCACCAAGAAAGAAACTTGCTTGGTGTTGGAGGTACAAAACATCTCTTACTTGCCATGAAGCAACAGAGTAAAAGCAGCATGGGGACAGAATTGCCACAGTAATGGATGTGCCATCTGTCCATTCCCTACAGTACCTAGCTGGTGTGCCCATCACCTGTGCGTTTGGCCCAAGCCAGCCTCTGGATCAAGAACACTGGGAACTGTGCCTACTAATATTTTACTAAATCCAGATCCTCAACAGGCACAAACTGTTCTAGGACCACTCAGGTTCAGCTAGAGCTGTATAGTTTTATGCCACTTGGAGAACTGACCTGAATAGTCTTAGTATCTTCTAAATTCAGACTTGAGCACCACAACCATTCCATAAACAGAATCCTTGTTTTCATTCTGTTGATGTGGATTTGATCACACTTCTTCCACCTTCCCAGTGCAGTGGAACAAAAGACTAAGCCTAAGCTGAGCCAGTTGGTATGAACAATCATAGGGTACTGTCATTTTTACTAGCTACAGCAAACTATTTTCATAGTTTATTAGCAGTTTTTGTTCAGCTGTTGCCATGTTTTCAAACAAGATGCAAGCCATGAGTCTGCTGAAGAAGGAAAGCTTTTCAAACCTACATTGTATTGTCTTTCTAACTTGTGCCTGTTTGACTTCCAACAAGGGTTTTGTAACACGAGTTCACAGTTAGACTTGGTGTGACATGACAAAAAAAGAAGTTACAGCTGTGTATTGGCCAAATACTTTCCCAGCAGATGCAAATAATATTCTGAGCAAAAATAAATCACAGAATGATCTGTCGCTGTCTCTTCACACTCTAGGAATGTACTTTCTAAGGACTGAACATGCAATATTGAACAGATTCCCTTCCCACTCCTAGAGAACATCTGGTCCAAATTCTCCCCTCCAAGCAGGGCCACATTCTAGGTCAGGTCAGGTTGCTCAGGGTCATAGGCAGCCAACGTTTGAACGGCTTTTAGGAGAGGGATTCCACAGCCTCTCTGGACCCCGAACGACACCACATTCCAATTTTTGACTACCGTGGCTGACAATTTTCCTCCAATCTGTTTGGAATGTTCCTTGTGGCTCCCCTTGTTGCCTCCCCACTATTTGTGTTTCACCTCAGCTGAAGGGGCTGGCTCCACCCTCTCTGTAACCTCCCATTAAGTTGTTGAAGACAGCAATTACTTCTTTCTCTTCTGGAGACAAACCAGTTCTGTCTTGCATTGTTGTGGTATCCAAGCATTTAGAGTATAATAAAGGTGTCAAATACTCAGATTTGTTTGGATATTCAACACAAATCCCATTTGAAAGCCTCTTTCAATGTGGGAGTCTTGGCCGGATCCTTTTGAATTCAGTGATAAACGTCCAGCTGATGTCAATGGAGATACAATCTGGCCCCATAAGGTTTTGGCCCCATGTCCTACCAGTGCTTTGGGTTTATCTTCTTTTTTTTAATTATTTTTTTTTCTTTTTCTTTTGAATAACTTTACAGCGTTGATAGGTTTGTTTTCTTACTGCTGCTGTAGGGAGCAAGTTGTCAAGGACAAATGTTTTCGTAAACAAAAATCTCAGTTGCAGGATGTTACTAATTTACAGTTGTTAAATAGAAGCTGGAGGGTTTCTATTCTTTTGTATTTACACCATAAAAAAATACTGAGAAGTGTAAGAAAGGGGGAGCTTTTGAAAAGAAGAAGTAAACAATTCATGTAGTAGTAATATTTTCTGAAGAATCAGTACCTAGAAGGGTACATAGAGAAGAAAGTAGGAACAGCAACACCAGTAACAAAAGATCCTTCTGCCTTCATATCTATCCTCTCTTCATCAGGAGTCCATAAGGACTCAGGCAAATAATTAATGGAGAGACTCTTCTTTTTATTTTTTTAATATACATGCATATATTTGCATAACAAATGCAAATTGATGTGTCTGGAGAATGTGTTAAGAAATGTGGCAAGTACCTAGTAACTGCTTATTAAAAACCCGGTATTGTCAATTCCTGAAGGGGAAACTGAATTAGGGAAATCACAGTTTTATCTGATCTGCTATTAACACTCCCAGCTTCTTTTTCATCCAAGACAATCTGCTGATGGAATCAGATGGTTTCCTCCCAAATCACATATCCCAGAGCCTGGTCTCCCGCTTCTCCGTTTATTTTCTTAAAAAAATATCACTGAAAACACAAGGGACTTGGAACACCCAAATGAAATGATTCCTCCATAAATTAGTATCAGCAAAACCCCAGCGGGAGAGCTCAGAGAGGTGAAACGTGTTAATGGTGTCATTACCACTAGGTCACCTGTTGCCATGAGGGGAAAGGGAAGTGCATTTCTCAACCTCCAGGCTGCTGTTATAGCAACTTATCACCAGGTCTTGGCAGGACTGCTTGTGATTTCATGATGTGTATAATTTGCAGAGGGCACATTGGCTCCTGGTAAGTACAGTGATAAACCAAGCTAGAGGAAAAGAACTTGAAAATCATCCCATCCTTAAGTCTAAATTTCCTGGCTTGTGGCTGGTTTAAGTAAGATCTAATTCTGTTTAAAGTTTCATGTTTGAGATAATGAGTGTAATGACTTTTTAGTGTACCATGTTTTGTCCCACTTGCAGCAAATGCTTCATGATTTATACCTGGGTTCCTTTCTTTTCCCTGGGTCCACTTCCCCTTTCTTTTTTCCCCTTCCCCTTTCTCTTCCCCTTTATACCTTGACTCCACGCGCTGTCTCAAGGCCAGCAACCTCAGAGGGACTTGAAGTGTCACAAATACCTGTGTAAAGCAGGCAGGCCCTTCCCTAGGATCAGGAGGTACACTGCAGCTCCAGGAGTGACCCAGGAAAGGGATGGTGCACGAGGTGGCTGTGCAGCTGGGTGCAGGGCCAGCAGGTTGGTGTTGTGCTGCGGCACTTCTGGCTGGTGCTGCTCCCTGGACGAGCAGAGCACAGCTTGCCTCAGCTGTCACCTGCATTCAGAGCCCTCTGAATGACAACCTTTCACTTCTGCTGGGCCACCTGTCCCAGGCTGCCACCCCAAGCCAGGTTTTGCTGCCTGCCTGCTTGTGCTGACCTCCTGGCCACAGTCCCATGGGCATTTTTGCTGGCAAGTTGCAT